CAAATAATCCAGTGAAGAAATGGGCATAAAACATGAATAGACACTTCTCTAAAGAAGACATTCATATGGCCAACAGGCACATGAAAAGATGCTCAACGTTGCTCCTCATCAGGGAAATACAAATCAAAACCACACTCAGGTACCACCTCCCGCCAGTCAGAGTGGCTAAAATGAACAAATCAGGAGACTATAGATACTGGAGAGGATGTGGAGAAACCGGAACCCTCTTGCACTGTTGGTGGGAATGCAAACTGGTGGAGCCACTCTGGAAAATAGTGTGGAGCTTCCTCAAAAAATTAAAAACAGATCTACCCTATGACCCAGCAGTAGTACTGCTAGGAATTTACCCAAGGGATACAGGAGTGCTGATGCATAGGGGCACATATTTCCCAAAGTTTATAGCGGCACTTTCAACAATAGTCTAATTATGGAAAGAGCCTAAATGTCCATCAACTGACGAACGGATAAAGAAGATGTGGTTTATATATACAATGGAATATTACGTGGCAGTTAGAAAGAATGAAACATGGCCTTTGGTAGCAACGTGGTTGGAACTGGAACATGTTATGCTAAGTGAAATAAGTCATACAGAGAAAGACAGATACCATATGCTTTCACTCTTATGTGTATCCTGAGATTCTTATCAGAAGATCGTGGGGGAGGGGAAGGAAAAAAAAAGTTAGGGAGGGAGCTAAACCATAAAAGACTCTTAATAACTGAGAACAATCTGAGGGTTGTTGGGCGGTGGGAGGGAGGTGAGGGTGGGTGTTGGGCATTGAGGAGGGCACCTGTTGGGATGAGCACTGGGTGTTGTATGGCAACCAATGTGACAATAAATTTCATATTAAAAATAAAAGGGGACATTTGACTGACACCTGCCCATTTTCTATTCATAAGCATTGTTTTCTACCAACACTGGTTGGGGGACTGAAATCTTCTTCAGAATATCATTTTTTAATTTGAGTTACTCCTCTGTTTGAACAACGACATCCATGAAAGTGCTTCAGTGGCACACGTCACAGTCCCTCTTCATTAGATACCTCAGTGGTTTCGTAATGATAGCCCTCAGTTTCTTTTCTCTCTCTGTGTCACTGAGTTTCTGTGTAAGGTAGATAAATCTTGAATTCTTAACAGTTTTGTTGAGAGATTAAGACAATGTGGATGGAGAAATCATCGAACCTCTGAATTTTGTATTCAGAATAATTACAGTGCTATCTTGGATATAAACTCATTTTATGTAAATTGTCCGTGAAGATGTGAGGTATGAGAGGGCAAGTCCAGCATAACTTCCCACGTACATGCAATTGGCAGTTACAGAAGGCAGGGAATGACTGTCAGCTTGTGCATTCCGCACACAACACACATACTGGTGGCGTTTTGTATGTTGAACTACCTTTGCACTCTTGGGGTAAACCCCACTTTGTCATGGTATGTAATGCTTGTAACATGCTGAATACAATCCTTAAGAGAATACTAGCAAACTAAACCTATCAGCATGTTATACCCTTTGACTATTTTCCAGAGTTCTAACAAAGTTTGTCCTGTAAACCTTTGCTTGTTTTTCAATGTTTCTGTGGAGGGATGGGCATTTGGAGTTTGCTTTCCATTTTTTGGCAGATATGATCCTCTCCTTTCCTGATGTGAACCCTAAACATCAAGATGAACTTTTTTTTTCTCTTTGATGCAAAGTTATATTTCTGTCAAGGCTGGACCACAGAGTCTTCATTTTAAAATGGGAGACTCGCTCTGTATAATTGCCAAGATGTTCTGAATCTCTAAGTGTTCATTCTTCTTCTATGACTCATTAGCTGTCTATATTATTAGTCCGTTTTAGATTTTGAAGCCAGATGTATTAAAACCCGATCTAAGGAATTAGCCTTAGCTTCTTTTCATTTCATTTGTTTTAAAAATTATGATGCACTAAAAGTCTCTTTCTGTTATATGAACATTGACAAATTGTACAGTAGAATTGCAAATACAGAAATCAATATAGAGAACATTTGTATAACCTCCTGTAAATTTTTCTTTTACTTATTTGCAGTCAACCTTTCCCCTAACTCCACTTCATGACAAAAAATGGTCTCATTTTGTTTGTATAATTTTGCCTTTTTCACTTATATATCATATTAAATGAAGTCATAGGGTATATTGCCTTTTCAGTCTGGCTTCTCTTACTTAGAATAATACATATCATATTCATCCATATTATTATGTGTAACACTAATACGTTACATTTTATTGTTGAAAAGTATTCTTTTGTGTGGATTTACCAAAGTTTTATTGTCTATTTGTGATCTGGAGGGAATTTTGTTTGTTTTCAGGTTTTAGTAATAGTAAAGCCACTATAAAATTTACATTCAGGTGTTCATTTCTCTTTGGTAAACACTTAGGATGAGGAATTTTGGGCCTTATATTAAGCGCATATTAATTTTCTAAGAAGGGGCGCCTGGGTGGCGCAGTCGGTTAAGCGTCCGACTTCAGCCAGGTCACGATCTCGCGGTCCGTGAGTTCGAGCCCCGCGTCAGGCTCTGGGCTGATGGCTCAGAGCCTGGAGCCTGTTTCCGATTCTGAGTCTCCCTCTCTCTCTGCCCCTGTCCAGTTCATGCTCTGTCTCTCTCAGTCCCAAAAAAATAAATAAACGTTGAAAAAAAAAAAACTTTAATTTTCTAAGAAAATGGAAAACTGTTTTACAAAATGACTATGAAATTGTGCATTCCTATCAACAATGTGTAATATTTTAGGTGGTCACATCTTCATCACCACTTGGTAATGTCATTTTGTTTAAGCCATTATGATAGGTGTGATGGGTGTTCTGTCCTCTGAATCAATTTGCATTTCCCTAATGTGTGATGATGTTAAATGTCTTTTCTTGTGACAATATGTCATATGTGTATTTTATTTTCTCAGTTGTCTTTTCACATCATTTACTTAGTTTTATTAGGAAGTTTGATGTTTATTGATTTTTATGTGTTCTTTTATATATTTTGAATACAAATTGGATTTTTTTTTTGTCCAAAATGTGTTTTTGGCTTCTAATTTTATTTTTTTAAGCATTATCTTTAACAGAACACTTGTTTTAGTTTTATTTTAGGACATTTAATTGTATTTTTTTGTAGATTATCTTTTTTGGTATTACATTTAAGATATCTTTGCCTAACCAAGGATTACAAAGGTTTTTCTTCTATGTGATTTATAGTTTTAGGTTTTATATTTAAGTCTTTGGTCTATTTTGAATTAATAGGAATTATTTTTAAAATTTATTTTTTATTTTCAAGAATTATTTTTGGGCTTATGAAAAATAAACCAAGTCTTACTTTGAAAAAAATGCAGTTTCAACATCACAAGATAAATTTCTCTATGAAACTCTTTTTTTATGTTCAACATCACTCATCATCAGGGAAATACAAATCAAAATCATGATGAAACACTACCTTACATCTGTCAGAAAGGCTAAAATTAATAACACAAGAAACAGCAGGTGTTTGCGAGGATGTGGAGAAAGAGAAACACTCGTGCACTGTTAGTAGAAATGCAAACTGGTACAGCCACTCTGGAGAACAGTATGGAGGTTCTGCAAAAACTAAAAGTAGAACTACTCTACAATTCAGCAATTGCACTCTTAGTTGTTTACCCAAAGCATACAAAAATACAGATTCAGAAGGATGCTTGCACTCCATTGTTTATAGCAGCATTATCAACAATAATCAAACTAGAGAGAGAGCCCATGTTCATTAACTGATGAATGGATAAAGAAGAACTGATGAATGGATTGTGTGTGTATACACAATGGAATATTACTCAGTCATCAAAGAATGAAACCTTTCATTTGCAATGACATGGTTGGAGGTAAAACGTATTATGCTAAGTGAAATAAATCAGCCAGGAAAGACAAATGCCATATGATTTCACTTACATGTGGAATTTAAGAAACAAAACAGATGAACATAGGGGAAGGAAATAAAAACAAGAGAGGGAGGCAAACCATAAGAGACTCTTAACTGTAGAGAACAAACTGAGGGTTGCTGGAGGGGAGGTGGGTGGGGGGATGAGCTAAATGGGTGATGGGTATTAAGGAGGGACCTTGTTATGATGAACACTGGGTGTTATATTTAAGTGATGAATCACTAAATTCTACTCCTGAAACCAATGTTACACTATATGTTATCTAACTAGAATTTAAATAAAAACTTGAAACAACAAAAAATAAAAATGTTTAAAAACCTAAAAAAAAGGAGTCTTTTTTTTAACTGCTGTTTTGCTAAATCCATAGTATCTCATTATAGCTCCAGAACTTACTCATCTTGCAGAACTGAAACTTGGTTCCTCTTGACCAACACGTCCCCATATCTCTCTCCCTCTCAATAGCCCCTATGTACAGCATTCTATTTTCTGTTTCTATGACTTTGACTGTTTTTGATTCCACATATAAGTGAAATCATATATTGTCTTTCTGTGTCTAGTTTATATCACTTAGCATAATGTCCTTCAGGTTCATCCATATTGTTGCGAATGGCAGGATTTCCTTCTATTTTCAAAGCTGAAAAACATTCCATTGTATGTATACACCACATTTTCTTTATTCATTCATCCTTTGATGGTCATTTAGGTTATTTCCATGTCTTGACTGCTGTGAATAATGCTGCAATGAACCTAGGAGTGCAGGTATCTCTTTGAGATCCTGATTTCAGTTCTTTTGGATAAATACCCAGAAGTGGGATTGCTGAGTAATATGGTAGCTCTGGTAACAATATTGTACTTCATAATTAAATTTACTAAGAGGGTAGATCCTAAATGTTCTCACAATGAGGAGGGGAGGTGAGAAAGGTAAAGTATATGAGGTGATGGCTATGTTTTAATTAGCTTGATTGTGGTGTTATTTCATTATATGTCTATCAAATCATTGAGTTGTACACTTTAAATATATACAATAAAAATAGTACCACAGATTTCTTATAGCACAAATAATCACAGGTGTAATGTATTTTTTTTTTGTCTGTCAGGTGGCAACGTATGACTTTTGCATTCAAGTTCAAATTAATTTCTTTGAGGCTTCAGAACTTTATACTAAATGTTGTTTGTCAAAATCTCCTATGATTCCGAATTCACCACTTATTCGAACATGCTGTGTTCAAGCTACTGGTATGTACTGTGAAACAGTTGGTATGCATATACCAAATATTGACACTTGAGCAGCTAAAAGTTTTTAAAAATCAGATTATGATATTTACTTTTTAAAAAAAGAAATATTAGAAAGTACAATTATCATATGATTCCTGTGTGTGTGACTTAAATTGTGAGTCTGTGAGATTGAATTTTGAAAAACAGTATAACAAAACCTATGTGAGTTCGCTTCTAGCTGAGTCACAGAAACTGTATCAGGTGAGTTTCGTGCAAAGAAAACTTGATTTGCATCAAATAAGGAGATCCAGGGGCATGGTTTCCAAACCTGTGACTCCCTGAGAGAAGGTGAAGGGATACCTTTGGTTTAGGGTTAGGATGAATATTTAGATAGGTAAGTCTTCTCATTTTATGTAGAGGCGGGCATAAGGCTATCCATGTGCTTTAAGGAAACATGCCTATGTATACATTGTATGTTGTGCAAATGAGCCCGAGGTTCTTTCTTGGGTGGAGATTTTAGTATGATGATGAGATAAAGGTAATGGTAGGTCACTCCAGAGGTCACTTGATGTTTTGCCTAGGCATGAATTGTAGGTTTTGCTCGAAAGGTCTGTGTGGTCTTGGGCTGGTAGGAGGTCTGGTCAGGGCAACCTGCAGGGTGGTTTCCAGATTCATTTGCCTGAGTTAACAGGTAAGGCAGAAAGATCTTAAGGAAAAAATGTAAGGCAAAAATTAGTGAGTTCAAGCAGGTGGGTAGTAAATGTCAGGTCTAGCTGGTGACAGTAGCATAATAATCTCAGATTAGTGACTGTTGCTTAAAAATATAGGTTATAATTAAAAACAAAAATGAGTTTAGTTACTTGTTGTGTGGGTACTTTTTAAATGATTAAATTAAAATATAAATTATTAAAATATACTACATATATAATGCACTGATAGAAATTTTATTTAAGAAATCCCCACCCCCCAAAGGAATAGGTTACTAAAGGACTAAGCCTATGTATAAAAGGAGAAGTAAAAAAGTAAGTAAGTAAGTAAGTAAATAAATAAATAAATAAATAAATGTAAGTATATTAAATTTTTTTTGTATTATTTACTTATTTTCTCCAAATATTCAAATATAAAACCAGTGCACTCTGTAAACCCTACTTTTGGCAAGCTTTGGTGGTTTTGCATTTTATTACATGTGTTTAAGTATTTTTCATGAAAAGTTTAGTCTATGCTATATTATGCAATATTTTGTTTTTTAATTCTGACATTAAGTTGTCAATAGTAATAAAATAGTGCTCAGTTGATAATTACACTTGGCATCTACTGAGAGAAGCCTCATTAAAGTAGCATATACAATGCAGATATTTATTTCATTCCTTTTTAAAATACAGAATTAGGGGGCACCTGGGTGGCTCAGTTGGTTAAGCATCCGACTTCGGCTCAGGTCATGATCTCGCGGTTCGTGAGTTCAGGCCCCGCATCGGGCTCTGTGCTGACAGCTCAGAGCCTGGAGCCTGTTTCAGATTATGTGTCTCCCTCTCTCTCTCTGACCCCCCCCCCCCCCCACCGCCCCGTTCATGCTCTGTCTCTCTCTGTCTCAAAAATAAATAAATGTTAAAAAAAAATTAAAAAAAAAATAAAATAAAATACAGAATTAGAAAGTCTGCAGCTGGTAGGGAGCCTCTGTGGAGTTTTCTCCCTTGTTTTAAGATATCTTTTTTGGGAAAAAATCTTTGTCTAATTTTGTTCTCCTAATTAGGTAAATTATTTTCATGAAAGATAAAATTTACCTACTTGACAAATAAAAATTAATGTACCATCATTATGGAAAATTGGAAAGTGTTAGAAACACAGAAATGTCATCTAGTATGTGAATATTTAGAGGATAGTATTATTAATATGTTGGTATTTTACTCTTCTTTTGTTGTATGCCTTTATTATTTTATTTTTTAACATAGTTGTGATCTTCCTGCCTGTGTTCAGTTGAAATCTCTTCATTCTTAATAGAAATTTTTATTTAGGGGAGCCTGGGTGGCTCATTCGGTTGAGTGTCCTACTTCAGCTCAGGTCATGATCTCGTGGTGTGTGAGTTCGAGCCCCGCCTCGAGCTCTGTGCTGACAGCTTGGAGCCTGGAGATTTCAGATTCTGTGTCTCCCTCTCTCTTTGCCTCTTCCCTGCTCAGGCTGTGTTTTTCTCTCTCTCTCAAAAATGAATAAATGTTAAAAAAAAAAAAAAACAATTTAAAGGGGCGCCTGAGTGACTCAGTTAGTTGAGTGTCCGACTTCAGCTCAGGTCATAATCTCGCATTCCGTGAGTTCGATTCGAGCCCTGTGTCGGGCCCTCTGCTGACCACTCAGAGCCTGGAGCCTGCTTCAGATTCTGTGTCTCCCTCTGTCTCTGCCCTTCCCCTGCTTGTGCTCTATCTCTCTCACTCTCAAAATAGACATTAAAAAAATTAAAAAAAGAAACTTTTACTTAGATGTTTTACACTCTTATTAATTGTATAAATTAACACTGATAGCTATTATAGAATATTTCATCCTGTAAGTATCTCTTATAGGTTATATAAGCATAATTCTAAGCATTTAGGTTGTTTTTTTTTAAATTTTCGTATTCATATAAATATTGTAGTAGTGAACATTTTTATGTATAATACTTTTTCCCTGTTTAGATTTTTTTTCAGTGATATTCTCTTCATTGGCTGCATTCCTTCTAAAGTATATACATGTTAAAGCTCTAGATCATTTTGCAAAAGGGCTTTTGTAAAGAGTTTTGCTGTTTCAACCCTCCTTCAGTGTAAACTCTAACCAGCATTGAATTAAAGAAATTGGATATTTTTCTATGTTATTAAAAGTATATTGTTTCAATTTTCATGTCAATTTCTTTGATTACTCATGAGGATTACAATTTTCTGTCTTTGCTATTAATTCTATATTTCATATATAAGTTACCTGTTCATGAACATTGCCTTTATCAGTATGGTTATGTATCTGTCTGATAGATGTCACTGATTTCCTTATTTATATTACTTTTTTTTCATTTTTACGGTGAATTTTTTCTAAGATTCATTGTTTGCCTTTAGTTTTGTTTGTTTTTCAATAAATCTCTTAAAATAATTTTATACTGAAATTTAGCTATTGTTTCCTCTGTGATTTCTAACATTCTTTTAAAGATTAAACCATTTTCCCTAGCTACAGAATTGGTATATGTGTAATACTGGTTTTTTTCCTATTTTTAATGGTTTAAAATTTGTTCAACATTTTCTAAAAAAACTAAAACAAAAACAATTTCTATACTTAATTTATTTTTAACTTTAATTTTTTTTTAACGTTTATTTATTTTTGAGACAGAGAGAGACAGAGCATGAACGGGGGAGGGTCAGAGAGAGAGGGAGACACAGAATCTGAAACAGGCTCCAGGCTCTGAGCTGTCAGCACAGAGCATGACGCGGGGCTCGAACTCACAGACCGTGAGATCATGACCTGAGCCGAAGTCGGCTGCTCAACCGACTGAGCCACCCAGGCACCCCATTACCTTTATATATTTATTTTGAGAGAGAGAGCATGAAACAGGGAGGGGAAGAGAGAGAGGGAGAGAGAGAATCCCAAGCAAACTCTGCACTGTTATTGTGGAGCCCATTGCGGGCCTTGAAGTCACAAACCATGAGATCATGACCTCAGCTGAAATCAAGAGTCAAGTGCTTAACTGACTGAGCCACCCTGGCTCCCCAGTACTTATTTAATTTGTTTAAAAAAAATGTTGCTGGGGCGGCTGGGTGGCTCAGTCGGTTAAGGATCCGACTTCAGCTCAGGTCACGATCTCACAGTCTGTGAGTTCGAGCCCCGCGTTGGGCTCTGGGCTGATGGCTCAGAGCCTGGAGCCTGCTTCCGATTCTGTGTCTCCCTCTCTCTCTGCCCCTCCCCTGTTCATGCTCTGTCTCTGTCTGTCTCAAAAATAAATAAACGTTAAAAAATAAAAATAAAAATAAATGTTGCTGTATTTCCAGAGAGGATTGGAATGTCAAAGCAAACTTGGTTGTATCATATAACTTATCAACACCAAAGTTTACTAACGATTCAAATGATACAAATATAATCGGGCAGAGATGTAACATTTCTTTTGTAGAAGTTGGCATCTATTAGACACAGTTTCCAAATTGTCCTTTTCTCCCTCCTTAACATGCTTTTTGCTTTTGAACTGACTTTTGAATGTCATTTGTAGAAACCTTTGTCTCAAAGGAAGCTGTTTTTTGTTTGGAGCTTCCCATTTCTATACTCTTAATAGTTATACATATAGGAAATGTCTATATGAGGAATTGTCATTTGCCTCATAAATCCATAAATTCCAGATATTTTTGGTTGGCCATTTGGACAGGTAATGCGTGTCAAAAGTTTTCTTTGAAATAGTCCACTAGTCAATTCCAATTTTTAAAAATGTTTGTTTATTTTGATAGAGCGCATGCATACATATGTGAGACCAGGAAAGGGACAAAGGGAGAGGGAGAATTCCAAGCAGGCTCCACATTCTCAGCATAGTGTCTGACTTGGGTCTCGATCTCATGAACTGTGAGATTACTACCTGAGCCGAAATCAAGAGTCAGGTGCTGAACCCACTGAGCCACCCAAAACACCCCTAGTCAATTCCATTTTTATGTTTGCAAGGAAACTTGGTCAAGTCCATTACTCTCTGAGATATCCCCTCAATAGAAGGATGATGCCTTAGTAGGGGACTCATAAGCTTGCTGTTATCTCTTTATTCCCAAATTACATGCATTCCTTTTAAAATTAAAATAGTGCTAACCCGGAATTGTAATCCATCATCTCCTTCTCAAGGCTTATCCTGCACCCAAGACGCAGTGACTTTTTTCATTAATTATCTAATGAAAACACTTATTTAATGACAAGCATTTTCACTCACTTGAAACTCTAATTCTTCTTAAAAATTTTGTAATATAATTATAGTTTAAATTTCAATTAAAATTTTTATCAGAGATTTAATTGTTTTGACAATATATTGTTCATTGTTAAGTCAAGTAGTGTATCTGCGTATTTTATTTACATTCTTTCAACTTTTTATTTTTCCCTGGAGTTATTAATTCCTCATTTGTCCTTAAATATTTGACGAAATCCTTCCATGCCACAAAGCTCTGTATTATGCTTATATGGACACTGTTCCACATGGTAGTCTACCCTGTCAGATAATGTGTCATAACTTCTCATTCCCTGAAAGCAGCCCTTCTGGAGCACAACAACCTCCTGCTCCAACATGCACTGAGTGCTTTCTTTTCCTGTGACAGAACTCTTGTCTAAGACTTCCTTTCACTGTAATGTGGGCATTTTCTTTTCTCTTTTCTGTCTTGACTCTCCCGGTTTTTCAGTCCCTTGCCTACCTATTTCTTGGGTTACTTCGCTGTTTAGGTAGATTACATCTTCCAGGAGCTTCTAAAGAGTGTAAGGGAGATAATTGAGAATTTCCTTCTCTGAAAATGTCTTTTATTTGCCTCTCATATTTAAATGATAATTTGGTTTAGTATGAAATTCTAGATTGAAAATAATTTTCCCTCAAAATTTTGAAGATATTATCATTACCTTCTAATTTCCACTGTTGTGTTTAGAAGTCTGATGACATTCTTCTTCCCCATCCATTACATAGGACCTAGCGTTTCGTGTTAGAAGCTATTAGAAGCTGATTTTTATCCCTGGTACTCCATTATTTCACAATGGTGACTTTAGTGTGAATCTTTTGTCTTAAGTTCTTGTGGACCTTTTCAATATGGAAATTCATGTCTTCCAGTTCTATAAAGTTTTCATAAATTATTTCCTTGAAAAGTTCCTTCCCACTGTTTTCTGTATTTCTTTCATTCAGACTTCTATTGTTGTATTTTGTACTTCTTGGATTATGTTATATATATTTTAATTAAATTATATATTCTCTCCTATTATCCTTTTCCTTGTCTTTTTGTTGTACTTCCCAGGATATTTTTCTGACTTTATTATGTCTTAAGAAATTATTTTGGCAGTTTTAAACTAACAAGGGTTAACTTTTTTTCTGATTATTTCTTTACATACGGACTTTTGAAAAAATAAAAACACCTTTTATCTCTACTTGTATTATTTCTTTGAAATTTTCTTCTGTTGACTATACATTGTCTCAATTTTTGCTGAATTATTTCTCCTTCATATTGAGGAGTTTCTCAAATGTCTATTGATTTTTGCCTATTCTCTCATGGTCATTGGCGAGTCTTGCAGTGCTGGCTTCATTACCAACTGTTCTATCATTGCCTGACAGTCTGGATCCCAGTGAATATTTAAGGTGATCAAAATGTTAGTCTGTAAGACTTTAATCTTGAGCAGTTCATTTTTTCTAGAAAATGCTTCTTCAAAGTAAAAAGATAATAAGGATCATATATCAACAACAGTATGCATGTAAATTTGATAACCAGATGAAATGGAGTAATTCCTTAAGAGACACAATCTGCCCAAACTCATACAAGAAAAAATAGACAATCTGGATAAGTCTCAATCTATTAAAGAAATTGAACCAATAATTAATAAGCTTCAAAAACAGAAAGCACCAGCCCCAGATGGGTTCATTGGTGGACTCTATCAAACATTTAGAGAAGAAATCATACCGATTCTCTATAATTCATTCTGTACAATCTCCTTCAGAGGATAGAAACAGAAAGAATACTTTTTTTTAACTCATTTGGAGGTCATTTTTGCCCTAATACCAAACCAGGCAAAGACATTGCAACAGTAGAAAACAACAGACTAATACCTCTCATTAGCATAGATATAAAAATCCTTAATAAAATATTTGCAAATCAAATCCAGCAGTGTATAAAAAGAATTATGCACCATGACCAAGTGAGATTTATCTCATGTATGCAAGGTTGGGTCACATTTAAAAATCAAGTAATGCATTCCATCATATCAACAGACTAAAGAAGAAAATATCACATGATCATATCAATAGATGCAGGTGAAGAAAAAGCATTTCATAAAATCTAATACGCTTTCATGCAAACAACTTAGTAAATGAGGACTGGAGCATAACTTTCTCAACTTGATAAAAAATATCTATAAACACCCTAAAGCTATCATCATTTTTAATGATGAGAAATGCAAAGCTTTCTCAGTAAGATTAGAAACCAAGCGAGGATGACCCTTTTCACTCTTTAAACTTTGTACTAGAAGTCGTAGCTAATGCAGTAGAGCATGAACAGGAATCAAAGGATACACAGGTTGAAAAGGAAGAACGAAATTCTTTGTTTATTGAAGATATCATTGTTTATGTAGAAAATCTAAAAGAATCGATTAAGAAAGACACTTCTGAAACTAATAACCTAATATAGCAAAGTTGCAGGATATAAGTTTAATATACAAAAGTCAATTGCTTTCCTCTATAGAAGCAATGAGCAAATGGAATTTGAAATTAAATACAAAATACCATTTATATTAGCATCCAACAAAAATGAAGTACTTAGGTATGAATATAACAAGATATTTATAAGATCTATATAAGGAAAGTTAAATTTATCTGATGAAAGATAGCAAAGAAGAATTAAATAAATTGAGTGATATTCCACATTCATTCATAGGAAGTCTCAATATTGTTAAGATGGCAGTTCTTCCCAATTTGATCCAGAGATTCAATGCAATCTTAATAAAAATCCCAGCAACTTACTTTGTGGGTATTGCCATATTGATTAAAAGTTTATATGGAGAAGGAAAGGACCTATAATAGCCAACACACTACTAAAGGTGATGAACAAAATTGGAGGACTGACACTGTCCAACTTAGAGGTTTTCTACAAAGGTACAGTAATCATGAGACTTTGGTTTTGGCAACAATACAGACAAATAGATGAGTGGAATAGAAAAGAGAGCCCATGGGGCGCCTGAGTGACTCAGTCGGTTGTTCAGCTGACTTTGGCTCAGGTCATGATCTCATGGTTTGTGAGTTCAAGCCCCTCATAGAGCTCTGTACTGACATCTCGGAGCCTGGAGCCTGTTTCAGTTTCTGTGTCTCCCTCTCTCTGCCCTCCACCACTTGCACTCTGTCTCTCGTATTGTGTCACCAATAAATAAACATTAAAACAATTTTTTTGAAAGGGAGCCCACAAATAGACCCACATATGTAGTCAAATGATGTTTGACATAGTAGAGGCAATATAGCTCAGAAAAGATATTCTTTTCAAAAAATGGTGCTGAACAACAGGACATCACAAAGAAAAATGAATCTAGATACAGACCTTACACCCTTCACAAAAGTTAACTCAAGTGGATCACAGGTCTAAATGTAAAATACAAAATGTAAAAACTTTTAGTAGAAAGCAAAAGAAAAAATCTGTATGACCTTGAGTTTGGCAGTGACATTTTAGATACAACAACAGCGGCAAGATCTGTGAAAGAAGAATTGATAAGCTGGACTTCATTAAAATTAAAAATTTCTGCTCTTCAAAAGACACTGTCAAAAGACCAAAAAGGTGTATTTGCAAGTCATGTTTCTTTTCACTTCTGTACTTTTGCATTGGTCAAACTCTATTATAGTGACTATTTTAACTATGCTTACATTATTCTCAGCTTAATATTTAGTATATTTTATACTCTTCTTGTCTCAAGAATAGTTTTTCTGTTATACTTGTAATTATCATTAAAATACAAAATTGGAATTTTATAGATGTGATTAAACATGATATTCTATAAATGTTTTAAAGTGTGATTTTGTTTTCTTTCTGGGTACATAAAAATACAAAAAATATTTTTTATTTCAGGTTGAGAAGTATAGTAATAATTAACTATGAGCTAATATCTCTTAATATTTTATCAGTACATTTATTTTCTTCTCATAGTATTGCAAGCACCATTGAGATTATCCAGCACTGATTTTACATTTGAAATCCCATTGTATACTATGGATCCTAATAACAAAGTCACAAAAACTCAGGTATGTATAGAGAAATGATGCAGTTTACAACTTTTCTTTTTACTGTGGTTTTTAGTTTATTGAGTTGATTATTCTGAAGCATTTGTTGTAAGAATACTTTCATTTTTAGAGAACTTGCATATCTATATATTGTATTTCTCAGAAGTAATTATGAAGATATATAGACACATATAAAGCCATTTTTATATATGCATATATTTAATAGGACTATTCAAAATATTTTATTTTTTAAAGAATCTTTTCCTTTTTTTAAGTTTTATTTATTTATTTTGGGAGACATAGTGATAGTGTGAGTAGGGTAGGGGTAGAGAGAGATGGAGAAAGAATCCCAGGCAGGCTCCATGCTTGGCACAGAGCCCAATGAGGGGCTTGAACTCACGAAACCATGAGCTGAGCTGAAACCGAGAGGAGGACACTTAGCCGACTGAACCACCCAGGCACCCCCCAAAATATTTTAAATAGAATTAAATCATCTGTCTCTCCTTATATAAAATGGGGCTATGATTAAATTAATGTGAAATATGTTCCATACAGGTAAGGAAATGTGGTGGAAGGTAATAATAAAAACAGGAAAAGTCCAGGTATATAATAAAGTGACTTCTATGACAATCTACTCTTTTTTTCTTACTAGATATCTCTGCATCTCTCTCTCCTAATTAATCCATCTAGAAAGAAAAAAGAGTGACATGAATAAGAAGGAAGCTCATGCATAGAAAATTGTATTTGTAGTGCCCCTTTATTATCTTATATATTGCTTTTCCTGCAATTAATTTTGAACCTCTGTAGCTTTGAGGGCAAATTATATGGTGAAAATATTTAACATTTTATGCGTCAAATAATAGCCAAGTGCTACATGAAATTATAGAGAACAATAAAGGATCTCTTCTGGCATTAAAATGTGACGGTTTTAAGCATAATATCAGTAAGACTTCTATCTATAATATAACTTCAAGGATGCAAAAGACTTTGTGTTGGGACTAGAAAGGAAGCGTTAGTGAACTGAATTGGATTGAATTCCAAAAGAAAAGCAATCCCTCTATAAATATGATTTTATTTTATATCATTGAATTTTTTTCAATTGGCATAATAAAAGATGATCTAGACAAGAGCCTTCTGTCTTGAGTGGCAAAGTGGTCATATTGGCTCCACAGAGAAGGAAATGTGATTCTAATATACTGCTTGCATTTGCCATGAATGATATTTACATAGTCATAATAAAATATATCATGCAGAGAAGTCGTAATATGTTTGTGGGGCAGAATTCAAATTGATCCTATATAGGGTATTACACGTAAAATGACAAGTGTTTGATACATACAATGTGTATGTGAAGGTTAAGTTGACAGAAGGGTTGGGAATGGTAGAAGAAAGGAGTGAAACTCATTTTACTCAGTGGGTAATTAAAGGAAATTGTGTAAAGTTGACAGAAGAACTAGAGATATAAATATATTACTTCAAGTTACCAGGTGACTAATGGAAGAATTAAAATAATTTAAATATCCACAATTGGGAGGTGGAAAGGGGAGTGGAGATAGTATCTATGAGCTAAATCCTCATTTTCACTAGTGGGCACTCAAGAGACAATATCTGGGTCTGATAAATCATGACATAGTCATGTGATAGAGTAATGGCCCCCAAAGTTATCCAATTCCAATCCCTAGAATTTTTGAGTACACTATCTTCTATTGTAGAAGATACTTTGCTGATGTGTAATGTGATTGACATTAAAGACCCTAAGCAAGGGAGATTATCCTAGATGATCTAGATGGTCCCATTTGACTCATGTGAGTGGTTAAAACCAGAGAAGCTTTCCTGACTGTGCTCAGAAGAAAATGTGATGACAGAAGAAAGGTAGAGAGATTTGATGTTGCTAGATGTGAAGATGGTGAAAAGGAGGCCACCAGGCAAAGAATGTGTTTGCCCTCTACAAACTGGGAATGGCAAGCAAATAGCCTTCCCTAGAGCCCTCCAGGAAGATCATGGTTCCTTCACCTTGATCTTAGTCCGGCGATAAACCTGTTGAACTTCTAACCTACAAGACTGTAGTTTAATAAATTTGTATGGCTTTAGACTACTAAGTCTGTGGTCATTTGTTATGGCAGCAATGAAAAAGCCTCAAGTAAGCCATATCAACATTATATTGAGAATAAGGCTCTAACTATCAGAGAAAATCCAAATCAGAATTAGCTAAACTTGGTTGTTTCAGGGAAGCAGAGCTGTTGATAAGAAGGAGTTGAGTGGGACAACTGGTTTTTATAAGTATTTTAAAATTATTTGTGTAAGCTACTAACATGTATCATTTTGATAAGATTATTTAAAAAATGACAGTGGTACACATACTAAATGTTTCTTTATAGATGACTGTATCAGTTCTATTCTTGGGCTAGGATTGGAAAATGGATATTTTAGAGATCTGCCATTTCTTCGTTTCAGAATGAGAAAAAGGAGGCATTCAAATGACTAGTACAATTTCATGCTCACCTTCTGTTTTAAAAGATGTTTCTTTCTTTATAAGATGCAAATTTTAGAACTAAATAGATATTTAAGTATGGAGAGACATTGGGAATAAAATCGCCTATTTTTTTAATCCTAAATATTTTAAATCAATCATACTTTAGAAAGAAAGGAAGTATGTTATTTTGTTGTGGTGCCAATTGCATGGATCATTGTATACTCTTCAAATTTTGAAGAGTAAAGTTAGAAAAATACCTAGCTCAAGGTTTTATTGTAATAGTATGTTGCACAAGTCTGCACACATGTCATGCATATAGCTCCCAGATTTATCAGAACATTACAAAGACAGCGCAGAGATTTTATGTATACTCTTCACACAACTTGCTGTCATGCTAACACCTTATACAACCATAGAACATTTTTCAAAACTAACAAGTTAACATTAGTACAAAATTATAAGTTAGACAACAGACTCTATTTGGGTTTTGTTGTGACCGGCGCAACAAACACTGAGATCAGGGTCCTGAGGGTAGGGGAATGTAAGAAAAAAAAAGAGAAGGGAAGCCAGTTTGGGAACAGGAGGGTCCCCTGGGCTGATGGCCCAAGTGACGGCTTTATTGTTGCTGTACACAATCTTTTATATCAAGACTCTTATGGATCAGGTCATTCTAAGAATAAACAGGTTTCACATGATCGCCGCCAACCAAAACATTTAGTTCTCTGTACCTTGTGAACTTTCTAAACGGGTCACAACAAGACCTTATTGATAGATTGCTAGCAAAACACAGTTCCCATGTTTGTTTCTATTTGACCCGGGGTAGAAAAGGGGGGTAATATTACTGCCAACACCCACAGACCACAGGCTTCAGGAATTAGATTTCTCAGCCTTGACAAGGCTTTCGTATGCCTTTGCAAGTGGGGGAATGGGACGGGGAACCACCGGGTTGGCTGAGTCAACAGGGAGCCATTGCTCGACCCGGTCTCAGCCTGGCACCTGGGTCCGGCCTCCCACAGGGTTTTACCCGTTTTTCACTAATGTCCTTTTATGTCTCATGGTCCAATCCAGGGTACCATATTGTATTTAGTTTCCTCTGATCTGTGGCAGGCTCTCAGTCTCGCTTATTTTTTTATGACCTGGTCAATTTTAAAGAATACTGGTTTGGTATTTTTTCCGAATATTCTTTAATTTTGGTTTGTCTGATTCTTTACACCTTTCTCGACTGCATTCTTATTTTTTATGGGTTTCAGGGAAGAGTGTAACAGCTGAAATGTCTTCTTTTGTCACATCATGTGAAGGGTGTACATGATATTGTGTATGGCTTACTGGTAGTGATAAATGTCAGGAGACTTGGAAAAAAGTTGGACAAACTATTTTTCTTTTTTCACACCCTATATGTCGGAAGTGAGTCATCAATGTCAGCCCACACTCAATGGGTTGGTGGTCAAGCTCCACCTTTTGGGGGGGTTATTTACATATATTATTCAGAATTTTTCTGTAAGCATTATTATTCCTTCCCTCCTTTTATTTATTTATTTTATTAATATATCAATGTGACTTCACAAATATTTACTTCATACTTTCAGTTATAATCCAATATCCCATTATCACATTATTTGTTATTAAAATTGTTCCAGCTCTGGCCATTAGGAATTCTTTTAGACTTATCCTTTGACATACTTCCATCATTATGATTTTTAAGCATTCTCTTACTTTCTGGCACTATAAAATGGTCCAGGCTTGTCTTTTATTTTGCTTGTTCCAGTTCTAGAATCAACATTTTCTTCAAGAAACCCCAGTACCATTTATGGAAGAATGGTATTTAGAAATCAAGATCTGTATACTAGATGTGCTAGCTGCTACTGGGATGTCACATGTTCTAAGCCCCTTTGGCAAATAGAATCAGGAAATATTTGTGTGTATACTAGTGAATACACACATACATAATTTGGCTATCGTTCTTTTTAAAAAAATTTTTAAAATGTTTTTATTTATTTTTGAGACAGAGAGAGACAGAGCATGAGCAGGAGAGGGGCAGAGAGAGCGGGAGACATAGAATCCGAACTAGGCTCCAGGTTCCGAGCTGTCAGCACAGAGCCTGATGTGGGGCTCGAACTCACGGACCGTGAGATCATGACCTGAGCTGAAGTCGGACACTTAACCAACTGAGCCACCCAGGCGCCCCTATCATTCTTTTTTTTAAATTGTGTTTTAATGTTTATTATTTTGAGAGAAACAGAGCACGAGTGAGGGAGGGGCAGAGAGAGAGACACACACAGAATCCGAAGCAGGCTCCAGGCTCTGAGCTGTCAACACAGAGCCCAACATGGGGCTGGAACCCATGGACTGCGAGATCATGACCTGAGCCAAAGTGACACGCTCAACCTACTTAGCCACCCAGGTGCCCCTGTCTATCTATCATTCTATCTCTATCATCCATCCATGTATCTATCTTTTTTTTTTTTAATTTTTTTTTCAACGTTTATTTTATTTTTGGGACAGAGAGAGACAGAGCATGAACGGGGGAGGGGCAGAGAGAGAGGGAGACACAGAATCAGAAACAGGCTCCGGGCTCTGAGCCATCAGCCCAGAGCCTGACGCGGGGCTCGAACTCACAGACCGCGAGATTGTGACCTGGCTGAAGTCGGACGCTTAACCGACTGCGCCACCCAGGCGCCCCTGTATCTATCTATTTAAACATGGGTTCAAACTGATGTCTCTGACTTTAATCCAGCACCACAAGGTTTATTCCAATCTTTCTTCCTTGCTTATTTTTAACTCCTTTCTCTGACTATGAAAAATCTGGCTCTCTTATTTATACTTTATTTATGTATTTTTTACCTGTATAAAGTACAGGTAAAAGTGTATACTTTTACTAGTGTACTAGTAAAGAAGTTTCGGAATTTTTAACCTGTATCTAGAATTGCTAATATATTTGCCAACTAGAGTACAGTATTAATAAAGAGTAACTTTTTGTCTTTAGCGCTATAGTTCCCAGTCCAAACACAGTTTTGCAGTTGCTTCGGCCATTCCTCCTCAGTCTCCACTAACTTCAGTGAGATTATCTCATACATTTGTAATATACTTTGTTGTAATCTACAATGTATCCTGGGGTTCCCAGTATCTTGGTTGATTGTTTTTAAGTTACTTACATTTAAGTTAACTCTTAGTGGTATATAGTTCTATGGGTTTTGAAAAATATGTAGAATAATTGTCCTACCACTTCAATACATGACAGAATGGTTTTACTACACTAAAAATCCTCAATGTAACCCCTTTGCTGTCAACTACTCCTCTTTCCACCAACACTTGGCAACCACTGGTTTTCTTTTTCCATCCAAATGATTTTGCATTTCCAGAATGACAGGTAATTTAATTATATAAAATGTAGCCATTTGGGTCTGGCATCTTTCACTTAGCAAAATATATTTTACATTTATTTATATTTTTGTGTGAATTAATACTTCATTTATCTTATCACTAAATTTTATTCCATTGTATGGAGTGTTTATCCATTCATTATTTGAAGGAAATCTTGGTTGTTTTTTTTCCTCCATTGCTTGGCGATGAACAAAACTATTATAAACATTAACATGTACATTTTTATGTGAGCATGAATTTTCACTTAAGTAAATACTTAGGAAGGGGATTACTGGGTCATATGGTATTGTATAATTAACATTATAAGAAACTGCCAAACTGTCTTCCTAAAGGACTATACCATTTTACAGTCTCACAATCATGAATGAAAGTTGTTACTCAGCATCCTTGCTAACTAGCATAGCTTTTTGACATTTTTATTTTACCCTGGTCTCTATCCTTTGTGTATTTTTCATAGTTGTTAATATGCAATGAACATATTTGCATACCCCTTTGTTTGCCTAACATCACTTTTAAAACTATCTGTGAATTCCACTTTAAAAAACTTTTTTTTAATGTTTATTTATTTTTGAGATGGAGACAGAGTGCGAGTGGGGGAGGGGCGGAGAGAGAGGGAGACACAGAATCTGAAACAGGCTCCAGGCTCTGAGCTGTCAGCACAGAGCCCGATGCGGGGCTCGAAACCATGAACCATGAGATCATGATCTGAGCTGAAGTCGGATGCTTAACTGACTGAGCCACCCAGGCACCCCATTTGCAACGTTTATTTATTTTTGGGACAGAGAGAGACAGAGCATGAATGGGGGAGGGGCAGAGAGAGAGGGAGACACAGAATCGGAAACAGGCTCCAGGCTCTGAGCCATCAGCCCAGAGCCCGACGCGGGGCTCGAACTCACGGACCGCGAGATCGTGACCTGGCTGAAGTCGGACGCTTAACCGACTGCGCCACCCAGGCGCCCCCAGGCACCCTATTTGAATTCCACTTTTAATCACTTGACTTTGTACGCAGGCTCTTCACCTTGGCATGGTAAAACAAGCTAAATTTTATATTGCATATTATAATTTTTATAAATGTCTTTTTATTTATGTATTTTGTGTGTATAAACAGGATCTTGTCTTACATAATACTTCAAAACAAGATGTGAAATGGACTTTGGATATTAGTAATACTGGCAAACTTTTCAAAGATGGCACATTCAAGATTAGTGTGCTGAGTGGGATTCTGCAACCACATAATGAAATTAATGTTTCCATAAGTTTCTGTCCAAGTAAGTCCTTTTTTCTTATATTTGTTATTGATGTTTCAATTTACCTCTCACATATTATTTAATTTTATCTTGTACACAAAAGTTTAGGTTATTTTTTATGTGTTCTTTAAATAGTTTTAAAAAGATTCATACTAGAATTCTTTCATAACCAGCCTGAAATATGGCCCCAAATAATTCTCACCTCTTGGTATTCATGGCCTTATATAGTGCCCTCCCATATCACATAGGACTGATGTATCACCCAGAAGATATTATGAATGTGATGGCGTATGATTTCCAAGATTAGGTCAAAAAAGGCATGGCCACGTCTAGCTTGCATTCTTGGATTGCCTGCTTTGGGGAAGCTGGCCATTGTGTCTATTTATCTCTATGTTCACTTCTTTACTGATGTTTTTTTTTTACAACAGCTTTATTGTACATTTTTCTAATTGGTGTGACAAATTTTCTGTTATCACAAATCTATTACAAAAATTCTTGGTGGTTCTTACACATTTACTTTTCCAAATGAACTATAGATTATTTTCTTCCTGTTTCTAGAAAAAGACATATAATTGAGTTTTTCCCTTCAAATAATGGCATGTTTTTCTAGTAATTAAAGTTTATTTTATAGGTATCACTATTATGAATGAGATTTTTAAATTAATCTTTTTAATTAGCTATGACTATATAAAAATAATATATTTATAGTTTATCTGTCACCTTGCTCCTATGCTGAACTTCTCTAGTTAGATCTGGAAGTTTTTCAGAGATTATTCTGTATTGTTATCTAAGTAAATAGTTTTATAATATAAAATGATAGTAACTAATGAATTTTTCTCTTCATTTACAATATCTCCTCCTCTACCTTATTCTCCTCCTGAATCTGTTAATACAATGTTACTACATTACAATCACATTACATTTATATTACAACTGCACTAGAACTGTTACTATAGTCTGTCTGAATCTGTTACTATGGTGGCAGTTTGTTAAAACTGTTTTGATTCCAGTAGTTTTGCTTTGTATATTTGGATGTTATTAAAAGATTATGTCTTATATATCTTTTAGAAATAGCATATGTATTTAAAGTAATGTTCTTTTTTCTACTAAATGCTATTTGCTTCAATGTTGTTTTATGTGCTACAGTGCCATTTTGTCTTTCTTTGGTTGATATATCATTTTATTTTCAGTCTGTGTCTTTTTAAATTTAAGACCAGTATTGTAAAACAAAGGATTTTGCTTCTTTTCTTGAGCAAGACTGAAATGTAATTTTTACGAGGGGAATTTGACTTATTCATATTTTCTGTTATAATATATTTTTCATTTTCACACAGTTTCATTTTATATTTCCTTTATGTTAT